GTAGCTTTAGGAAGAAAGACTCATGAGTAAGGTGTCCAGATGTCCTGCTTTTGGCGGGACAGTCCCGATTTCTAACCATTTGTCCCATGTCCCACGGCGTTTTAAAAAAGTCCTAATTTTTGGAAAGAATGCACGACAAGCTAGGGAACGGTGGGAGAGTGGGAAGGGAATATACAGTTTTTGGTGGCCATGTAGCTATTTAGTTAGGGTATGAGTTTTATATTATTTTTGTTAATTTTACAGTGTTAAACTTTAATAATAACAAATAATTGGTGCGAATTGATTATCGAGAACTGCTTATCAAAGTTAGCAACTGTTGTGCCCAAGTGTCATAAACCCCAAAGACTACCAGGGAGCCGAATCCGATGCAAGTGCAGAAAGCCTGTATTTATTTCGGACTAGTCCGAGCCCAGTCTCACCTACACCAACGAGGGCATGGGCGAGAAAGAGAAAGAACTTAACATATCAATGGGTTTTATAGGGAGGGTGGTGCTGCTACCTTGGCTGACCTGATTGGTTGGGTTAGGCCTAGGGTCCAGTTACCTGGAGCTGGACCCGCCCCACCCTGCCCTCTCACCCCACCTGCCCTCTCGCCCTTCCTGCCCTCTCGCCCCACCTGCCCCCTCACCCCGCTCTGCCCTCTCAGCAACGACGAAAACATTTTGTAACTGTCTCTCAGACGATACACATAATACTGAGGCTAATAAGCTAGTTAAACAAGTGATGTCATTACAAATCAGCTATTCAGATAATTTAGGTAAGTATGTATTTATTTCATAAATACATAAATGTTCTTGAATTTAGCAGTCAGTGCTTGTATTATTTATGTTTTATAATAGCGGCAAAATGTCTAGTGCCAGCCTTGAAAGTGACACTTACGACTTAGTTACAATTAAGTATTGAGACTTTGAAAGCCATTTTATGTGTGAAATATAATTATTTCACAAATTCTTGTGAAAAATTACCTTTTAAACAATGACAGCAGTCTACTAAAAAAAAAAAAATCACTCAAATGAGAAATATGCCAAAGAATAAAATAATACTATACATAATTTTTTATTTATTATATTTATAAATTGTACTTATGTTGAAATTTAAAAAATATATTACAATACTATTTTTGCGTTCTATGAAAATTTTTGTTGCTCCATATAGACCAAATTTTTAATCAAGAACCCCCTCCCTGTCAATGGTGTCCCGCTTTACCAATGTTAAAATCTGTTCACCTTACTCATGAGGCAAAGTCTGGGTACGGAGTAGGGTTTGTAAAGAGGCAAATCTAAAATGACTAGGGTTAGGCTAGATGTTCCATTTGCCCAGAATCTTCTTGAAAGCACAGCTTAAGTGACTTTTCTTAATTTTCTTGACTAGAATCACTCCCTTCTTTAACTCCATAGCATTCTTTTTTTAAAAATATATATTTTATTGATTTTTTACAGATAGGAAGAGAGAAGGATAGAGAGTTAGAAACATTGATGAGAGAGAATCATCAATCAGCTGCCTCTTGCACACTCCCTACTGGAGATGTGCTCGCAACCAAGATACATGCCCTTGACGGGAATCGAACCCGGGACCTTTCAGTCTGCAGGCCAACGCTCTATCCACAGAGCCAAACCGGTTTCGGCTCCATAGCATTCTTATTACATTTATCATATCACTTTTTTTCCCCCCTATTGGCTTTGAATATTCTGTTCTTTCTAAATTATCTGCGTGTGGTACAATAGAAAGAGCAATGAATCCAAGTTAGTCGATTCAGCCTCAGCTTCAATAGTTACCTAAGGTGTTTGAACCTCAGCGTAGAAAGGGGATAATGACATATTCCTCGTAGTGGGATCTGAGTATTAAAAGACATCTTATATAATCCTATGTAATAAAAGCTTAGTATGCTAAGTGTCCAGTCATCCGGTTGGCTGTTCAACCAATCAAAGCGTAATATGCTAATGATATGCCAAGGCTGCTCAACTGCTCGCTATGATGTGCACTGACCACCAGAGGGCAGATGCTCCAACCGGTAGGTCAACTTGCTGCTGGGGTCTGACCTATTGGGACTGAGCAAGATGGACCGGACACACCCTGGAGCCCTCCCACAGTCTCTCCTGGGCTGGCCAGCCTCCTACATCCCTCCCCGGCCTCAATTATGCACTGGTGGGGTCCCTTCGCCTGGCCTGCACCTTCTCGCAATCTGGGACCCTTCCGGGGTTGTCGGAGAGCTGGTTTCAGCCCCATAGCAGAATGATTGGTCGCTATGACATGCACTGACCACCAGGGGGCAAATGCTCAATGCAGGACATCACCCGAGGGCTTCTGATTACAAGAGGGCACAGGCTGGGCTGAGGGGCCCCCCATCCCCGAGTGTATGAATTTTGAACACCAGGCCTCTAGTCCTATATAACAAAACCCTAATATGCAAATCGACTGAACAGTGGAAGGACAAACAGCAAACAACCAGCAAACGACTGGTCACTATGATGCGCAGACCACCAGGGGGCAGATGCTCAATGCAGGAGCTGCCCCCTGGTGGTCAGTGTGCTCCACAGGGGCAACGTGGGTCAGCCAGAAGCCTGGCTAACCACTGGTGAGCACAGCAGCATTGGTGGGAGCCTCTCCTGCCTGTGCCACAGCGCTAAGGACCCCCCCCCCCCCCATGTCCAGCCGGCAGTCGGACTTCCCCCGAGGGGCCCCAGGCTGTGAGAGGGCACAGGCCGGTCTGAGGGATCCCCTCACCCCAGTGCAGGAATGTTGTGCACCGGGCCTCTAGCTAAGGGTAAAATGTGGCCCATCCTGAGCCCTTGGCAAATAAAAGTTTCCATTTGCAGAACCTACTAAGTGTCATGAAGTGCCTTACGTGCTTGACATAAGTTATTTACTTAGACCTCACCACAATTTATGTAGATCTATTCCTTAGAATACTTTACCAATGAGAAAAAAGACGCTTTGATAGGTTAAATAATGTAATTGATGTCAGCGGGACACACATTTAAGTCTGTCTGGGTAAATAACAGCAGCGGGACACACATCTAAGTCTGTCTGGGTCTAAAACTAGCCGTGTCCATTGGTCCACCCTGCTTCCCCATGGCTCACAGGGACATCTAATAAATAACTGGTCTTAAATTTACTTTTACTCAACACTAATCTGTGCTAATTTTGGAGCTGGTGACCTACAAAAAAAAGTGTCCCATTATCTATCCTGAATTACAAATAAACTTTCATGTATTTTGCTCAAAAAGTGTGTGTGATGCATTACCAGTGAAAAAGTGTTATTAACATTAAGAACTTTTCACAGGATCCCCTGATTTTAAGGAACATCCACGGACTGGAAAAGCGGCTTGGCTTCAGGTTTTCACTTTTGCTTTGAAATAGATACTTGATTTTTTTTTTTTTTTTAAAGGGGTCACAGAAGCCTTTGAAGGGAAGCTATGAACTGGCTCCTTAGAAAAAAAAGCCACTAGGTCCATTCACGAGTTTGGGGTGAAGTTGAAGAATGCCTTTGTGGGATAGATCATCTTTCATTTGAAAGCCCTAAGAAAATCATGAACTATTTACAATGAAGTTAGTGGAAATTTCCATTTCTTGTTTCCTTTGTGTGGCCACAGGATGGTGATGGTGATGGTGGTGGGGATGGTGGTGGAGGAGTAACTGGGGAAACTAAGGCGATAAAAGAAGTTGGCTCTAAGATGCTACCCTAGGACCTTGTGAAAAGGTTCTTACATAACTTCCCATCGCCAATGCACTAACTGACCCTTCACTGATTTTACACTTCCACTTTATTATTTTTTTAATATATATTTTTATTGAGAGGAAGGGAGAGGGACAGAGAGCCAGAAACATCGATGAGAGAGAAACACAGATCAGCCCCCTCCTGCACCCCCCCCCCCCACACTGGGGACGTGCCCGCATCCAAGGCACATGCCCCGGACCGGAATCGAACCCAGGACCTCCCGGTCCGCAGGGCGGCGCTCCATCCACTGAACCAAGCCGGTTTCAGCTACACTTCCACTTTAAATATAACAGCAGGGGGAGGACGAGAAACCACGTTCCCCTCCCCCCCTCCCGACACACCCCGAGGGCTTGCAAAATAAAGAGGGCTGTCCCCCGGAAATCCAGGAGGATGCGGGAGCCCCTCTTCCTGCCTCCTCCCCGGACACGCTCGCACCCCGGCCGGCCAGGCTCCCCCGCGCGGGCGGACAGGCGGGCGGGCGGGCGCGCCCCTCCGCCGCTCATTCCCGAACACGTGCTCCGGGGACACTCACCCGGGCGGGCCCACCCCCCGCGGAGGGGGCGGGGCGCAGGGCTCGGGGCCGAACGGACCAATCGGCGCGCGCCTTACAGCGCCGTGGCGCGACGTCGTTGAGCCGCCCAATCGCAAGGGCCTCAGCGCCCGTTTCCCGGAGCCCCGCCCCTCGCAGCCGGACCCCCCGCCCTCCGGTCTCCTCCCTCCTCCTCCTCCTCCCCCCGTTCGCCCCGCCCCCGCCGCTCGGGAGCCGAGCCTGCGAGGCGGAGAAACTGGGGCAGAAGTGAAGATGGCGGCGGCGGTGCTGGCGGCGGCGGCTTCTCCTCGCCAGTGACGCGCGGTGCGGGCTCATCCCTGCCCTCCTTCCCCACCAACCCGGGCCCGGACCCCGTCCGCCGGCCGCCGGGGCCACACCGTCCCCCCGCAGCCCGCCCCTCCGCCCCCCTCCCCCCCTCCCCCCAGCCGCCCCGCAGCCGCCGGCCTCGCAGCAGCCCTGCGCGCTTTGGCCGGGGAGCGGGCGGCGCGAGTAGACCTCCCTCCCGCCCGCCCCGCCGGACCGACCGACCGACCGGCCGCCGGGCCGCGGCCCCCCCCACACACACAGCGAGCGGCGGCCCCCGCGCATCTGCTTCCGTCCATTAGGGGCCTGGGCGGCGGCGGCCGCGGGTTTTGGGGAGGGAAGTGGGTTCGGGGCGGGGGGAGCGGGCGGGGGCCGCCCTCGGGAGGAGGAGGAGGAGGAGGAGGAGGAGGACGAGAAGGAAGCACCACCATGACGTCCATCCATTTCGTGGTTCACCCGCTGCCGGGCACCGAGGACCAGCTCAATGACAGGTAATGGGGCCGGCGGACGGGGACGGGGGGAGGGGCGGCTCCCGGCCCGGCCCGGCCCGGCCCTCCCCTCCCCCGCGGGGCCACGCCGGGGCCGGCGGGCGGGCGGGCGGACGGACGTCGGTGTTTACCCGCCGCCGGCCGGTTGGCGGGGGGCGGGCGGGGGGCGCTTGCGGTTGAGGGTGGGGTACGGGGTGATGGGGGTGTCCTCACGGCCCCCCCGGCTGGCTAGGCCCTTTCCGGGGCGAACTTGGGGTCCGGGGGCAGCGCGGGGTCGACGGGAAAGCCCACCGTCCGGCTCCCCCCCACCCCCCAACCCCCGCCGAGGAGCCGCGTTGAACTCGGCGGAGACGGGGAGGGTCGGGCTCCGGGGACCGGGGACCGGGGACCGAGGAGCCGGGGGGCCGGGGGGCTGTGATTGCCGCCGGGCCCAGGCCCGAGGAATCCATATTAGTCAAAGTTGAATTGAGACAGACAATGCGGATGGGGGATGGTGGAGGTGGGGAGAGAGGGAAGCGGGGCGGCGGGCGGGGGCCCGGGAGGCAGGGCTGGCCCGGGCCGCCGGGAGGGGTGTCCCCGGGTTTGGGGGGGGGGAGGGGGTCTGGACATGCCCGGGGACCCGGGGGTTGGGGGTGGAGGGGGAGGGAGCGCTGATTCCCGGCGGGTCCCCGCGGTGGGAGCGGGAGGAAGCGCCATGGCTGTTGTTATTAGTACAGTGGAGCCCCCGCGGGGAGGCTCTGCCCGCCCGCCGGGTGGGGAGGGGGGCGGGGGGCGGGGGGTGGGGAAGGGGATCGGATTCCCTTTGCTCTGCGGCTCCCTTCCCGGTGTGTGGGGCGAGCTTTTTTTTTTGTTTCCTTTTTTTTTTTTTTTTTTTTTTTAATCCTAATGGTAGTGTTTTCCTGAGTTGTCATTTGACAGCTGAAAAGCGAGCGTTTCCATAGAAGAAGAAGAAGAAAAAAAAAAAACCGCTCCTAGACGTTTGCGGTTCTCCTTAGCACGCCGTCCACGTCTGGGATGGGTTCGCTGTGGGCAGAGGAGGGACGGGGTGATTTTTTTTGTTTTTGTTTTTTTGTCTTTCATAAGAAGGCTGTCTTGACAGCGGGTTCCTCTCCTTTTCCTCCTCCGCCGGCCCCTGCCGGCGTGGGGGGGGTTGAATGGCAGGGCCGCATGCTCCCGGGGAACCGAGATAAAGCAGGAAAAGTTCCTTTGCCGGTGGAGCACCGAGACTCCGAGGCGGCGGAGGGAGGCCTCCATTAGAGCGAGTCTCCGGATCGAGCACCCGGATCTGAGGGTGGGCTGAGTGTTTACGAGATCACAAAGGGGGGCATCTGAAGCCGCCTGCTCCCCTGTGCCCTCGCTGCCTCCCCCCGGCCCCCCCCCCCCCCCCCCCCTTCACCTGAATGTAGGAGGCAGTCTGGGCCCAAGTTGTGAAGTTCGGTAGGATTTTTGCTAAGGGGACGGGTGACCTAAGTTGTGTGACACCCTATTTGTCATGCGCTTCCCGGGAAGCGGGGGGCGGGGGGGGGGACGGGGGGGGGGAGGCCTAGCTTGCTGCTAAGATGCTGGCCTTGGTCTCCAAGGATCCAGCCGCCTCAGGCGGGGGACAGCCTTCCCATCCTAAAGCTGGCTTGGATTTCACTCATCTTGGCTGTAGTCATAGCTTAATACGTTTGAGGAACTTTTGGGATACTTCCCGAAAATACTGAAAGAAGTTTTTAGTCGTTTAAGATTTTATTACAGGATCCTTAATCTGGTTTTATCTCATTAGCGTTAGAGGTCTCTGGAAAGTCTTTTATCTTATTATTATTATTATTATTATTATTTTGGTAAAATTTCGAATCTGGTTAGTAGTGAGGATAGAACCAAATTGGTAGTGTTTGGAGTATAACGTCTTGTAACAAAAATTCCACCATGGTGGAGAGAAGTAGGGTGTGTTTTCACTATTAGTCTTATTTTACTATATACCAAGAGTCCTGACTAGGTTACCCAAGGACCACACATGCCAGAACCTATTTTGCAGTAGTATTTGGGCAATTTGATTCATTTTTGAGCATTCCTTTTGCTTTAGCTGGTCTGAGAAATTGACCAGGAATATATCTCTTTTTAAACTGCTTTTTTTTTTCTTCTTCCCCATTCCTAGTACAAGTAATCTATTTTGGTTTTGATTCCTGTGGTGTCAGTATACAATATTTAGATCATCTTTAGTTTTCATTTATGAAATAAGTGGATTTGATTCAGATCATAAAATCTGTGCATCAAGGATGCAGTATTTTGAAAAATAGGCAAGTGCTGTAGGTTATAATTTTAGGGACCTACATTTGTATGGAATAACAGTAAAAATGTCTGGTCTGTTGAGATTTGTGAAGGCAGCATTGAGACAGCCTTGCACGAGTTTTGCAGTAATTGACTTGTAGGGTTTTTCTCTGTCTTCCCTTCAAAAGGAAGGAGCCAATCAACCTTTTGCTGCATTGCTAGGGAAAAGTCTGTGTCCAAAGATACTGGTTTTCTGGAATCAACATCTGGAACAAGAAGCCTAGGATATTTACATTTTCAGATAAAAGCTTTATCAAGGTTTAGCAGGTTTTGATAACAGAAAAGAATGTGCTACTTTAGCTTTATTTTTATATGAGAAACGTGCCTGTGATAGTCACAAATGAAATGATAAATGCTAGTTTTGGGTTAAAAGGGGTATAAACAAGTAGACTTTATTCTTTACCCAAAAAGTAAGATTGGGCAGGCAGTGAGGTGTACTGCAACTAAATTGCTCAGTTGAAGAAAATTTAGGGGACTCAAAACATCAATGTTTTCCTCAAATAAGGTTTTTTTTTTTTTTTTGCCACATCCTTTTAAAAATCCAATATTTTGTTCAATATAATCGTGTGATGTCTCAAACATGTAAGATGCACTCAGTAATAAAAAAGGTTAAATACTGATTTTTTTCTTTGTGTTTTCAAACTTGCTAATTCCACAGTAGCCTTTGTTTATTTTTGTGTATTAAAAGTCTGGCCCTGGGGACCAGATAATGAATGCAGTTGATAAATATAGGTGGAGATGGCGAAGGCAGAGATGAGGAATTTAGAGATCTTAGCTTGTTGATTGGTTGTAGCTTCCTGGAGTGATTACAAGGTCCCTGGTGCTGAGTGTCTGGCCTTCTGCAAATATTCATTGTGCTCAATTGAAACCTTCCCATGCTCAAATACTTTTGTGACCTTTCAGTTTTCTTTCTAGGGAATTTCTGCTTAAAACACTGTCTCAGAGAAATAGGAAAAGCATACCAAGAGCATGTTTCTGCCTGTCAAGGTTGAGGGAGAGCTGGAAAATGCCTGCTCACTGAGATCTGGACAGTACCCAGGAAGTCATGCAGACCAGGCTTTTCACTAATGAGTCGAAAAAACAGGCCTAGAGATTGTCGGAGTTTATCCCGGTACACAGTGAACTAGTGGCTGAGGAGGTCCACATGATGGCTTTTCTGACCTTTTCCCAAGACCAGGGCTCTTTCCTCTATCCCACACGGTCTGTGTTCTGGGATATTTCCGCTTCCTGAGGCATCCCAGCCTTAGAACAGTCACTTGACTTAGAGTTTTGGTTTCCTCCTCCCTCCTATCTACCTCATGGCTCCAAACTGACTTTTGCCTTTTGTTAGGGTGCTAACCCTCAACCCTTTCTTAAAACTAGATTAGGAGAGGGGAGGGAGGCCTTTTAAAGTTGATGTGGGTATGGCGTGGCTTGTCCCTGTCCCGAATGCAGGTTGTTAACAGTACAAGCCAGTTCTCATTGTTTCTTCTGTATGTGGACTTTTCCTGTGAGCTTTGCTTTTTGGCATTGTCATATGTTGTGCAGTCATAAACAATCTTGGTTGAGATTTTCATATCAAAAAGGCTTTTCTCTAAGGAGCTTCCTCCTGTAGGTGCTATAAGACTAACTACAAGGTATGTTGAGATTTGGAATTCCTAAATCTGGATATGTTTTAGCCATGCTGTTCATTGTGGTAGGCATTTAACCTCACTGTATTGTGGTAGGCATTTAACCTCACTCTTTGTCTCTACTTCCCACCCTCCACACCCCTGCCTCAGGGTCAGTGAGGAGCACTTTAGATTGTGGGAGAACACAAATATTTTAATGCAGATTCTGCAGAAAATGTAATGCGATGGCTAGTTGTAACTGCTTTTAAGTGTAATGTAGTTCCCAAAAATGTCCCTAGAATATTCTTAGCACTGGGTACAGAATCCAGACTCTTAACCTTAGATCAATAGTTTTAAACTGGGTGTGATTTTAAATGCATATAGTTGTAAAACGAAATGGAAATAATCTTTATGACGGAAAACCCAAGCGATATAAGTTAGCCTCAAATGTGACTAATTAAATCGAAATGAATTAAAATGAAATAAAATTAAAAAGTCAGTTCCTCAGTACCACTGGCCAGCTTTCAAGTTTTCTGTAGCCACATGGAGCTGGTGGTCACCATGCTGGACAGGGCAGCTACAGAACAGCGCCCTCCTCACTGAGAGTTCTGTTAGAGAGCAGTGGCCACAGGTCCAAAGTGCCCCCCCCCCCCTTTTTTTTTTTCTCACAGGGCGTGACATTTAGTAACCGCTCCTTATTTTTATTTGGAACTGTTGGGTTTTAAAGACTCAAGCATACCCTTGCCTTCTCAGTAGGAGCCAGAAAATATGCCAGGGATTTCATAGAGCTGAACGAAGGCTGTGGAGGTAGTTGAAAGCAACCTAAAATTAGCGAGCTACACCAAAAAGCACAACTGTTAGTCTGTGTGAGCTAGAGCATCAGTCACGGCACCAGTGGGAAAGCTCCCTGTTTGGTTATTGAGATCGTTACTACAAATAACATAGAACAACTGTGCTGGGAAAATGCAGGTGAGCTTTGCTAACATGATTAAATGAGTTGACTAAGAAAAGTAAGGTTAAAGAAAGGGTATGAAATAGCCAAACAAAATGCTGAAAAGCAAAGCATAGAAGGGCAGATCAATATTATAAATGAAGAAATCA